CCAAAGCGGCAGGAGCTGCCGAGCTGCCCAGGAGTGGTCCAGAGCGCTGACGCTGGGCTCTGCGAAAGGGGGGAAGGTGGGGGAGGGGCCAGGGGAGCCTCCCCAGCCGGGAGCTCAGGCGAGCCGGACAGGACGGTCCCGCGGGCCGGAGTTTGCCCACCCCTTTAACAACCTGTTTGCGCGAACCGGCTCCAGCTCACCACTGGGTATAACGGCACAGGTATAGAAATATAATTATAACTCTATAGTTTTGCTAGTCAATCTCCCTGGGTAGACAAGCTCTCACAGTCCTAGTGAATGCTAATTAGACTTCTAATATCGTTGTCTGAAGTTTCAAATAGGAACCCCTATCTGTTACATACTTTAAGTTATCATATTTCTCTATACCTATTGATACTAGTATGATTTGTCATGGACTGTGCCCATTCAGAGCAGAAAACTCATCTGAAGGGAACATGCTTAGGAAATCAGTGAGAAATTTTCAAAAAGCATCGGGCAATAAGGTTCTCAATTCCCATTGTAAATCAAGTTTTATGAGTCTCATGTGCTCCTGCAATTAACTGACAAGTACTCTTTTCCCATATATAAATCTTTTAATTGATCCTAATACATCTCTGACTGAACAGAAGAAAATTCACCCAGCCTCGTCTACACAACAATTACAACATGGCCTTAACCTATCTGCCTTACAATACCAAATGCGTTTGGTTCGGCATGTGTAGACCAGATCAACTCATACTACAGACCTTTCAGCATGTTCACTTAGTATGATTACATGATTACTTGGTCTTGTCAAATCAAAGTCTATGCTGCATGTTTAGAATACAAACCAAGTTATAATTGAATTTCCCAGCCTGGTTTTTACTGTAGTGTCAGAGCTCACTTCAAGATTTTGCCACTCTTGAAAACCCAAGAAAGTACATTTGATTTATTTTAACAGTTCTCTCTTTTCCCTTTTGTATGTATTAAGGAATGGGAGTAGAAACTAGAAAGTTCAGACTAACTGCTTCTATTTATTTATAGTGAGAAACCACTTTTAACATTCTGCAGTGTTTTTCCATCAAGTTAATACTTATCAGCATATCCCTTTTTTAGCTTTTTATTTTGTGGACTCCTGACAGTCAATCTTATACTTTGCAGGTGGGAATGAATTCTTTTTACTGAAGTATTATCCAAAGGCTGGCCCAAAAGAGACATTTAGAAATGTGTGTTTCTGGAACAGGTTGAAAAATTAACAATTAATTACAATTGTCAACAGCAAATACAGAGTGCATTCAGTCAGAAAAGATAAAGTTCAGGAATGTTAATAATATGGAATATACAGCATAACACAAGCTGGACCTTCCCCAAAATATTTTTAATATATAACCCATAGTTCAGTGTGCCTAACATTAGACTGTAAAAACACGGTTACAGCAACTGTCCACAGCCAGTGACAAAAACCATATCTTCTCTCACAGATGATATTGCTGCATTAACAGTGTAGTTTGCCTCCAGTGACCCACACATTTATCTAAAACAATTTTAATGGAGTTTACTAAATGTTGACCCATTTCCTCTCTATTCACTATCAGAAACAAACCATACTCTTTCCAAGATAAATAAAAGCAGCTACAATATATGTACATCACTTCAACGTCAAAATACTTTCGTGTCCAATACTATTAAAACTACCATTACACTTTTTTAAAAAAAAATCAAGGCCTTTTACATGAAATATCATGTTTGACACTACTTGTTAAAGAAAATGAGAACTACCATTGCTCTTTTTAAGATAATGGACGTAAATGGAGTGAAATAAAGTGCAGCAAACAAAAACTTGATACAAATACCTCATTAATTGTCCAGGTAAGAACTACTTCAACCATTAGACAATGTTTATATGCTGGAATGACAAAATCATTATCGGAATAATCAAAGAACCAAAAAGTGTCCAAAACACAGCTTTCCCTAAATGGTGGTGTGTACTGATAAGATATCTGAGAAACACTCAACTAAGATATAGACTATGCCATCCAGAGTAAGCAAAACACATTGCTGAAACAGACTAAGGAGGTATGACGGAATTATCTTCTTGAATTCTCCATATAACTATCTTTTTTAGAACTCTAATGTTTCAAGAAGCTTAAAGGTATGGCTTCGCAGAAGTTCAAGTACTATACCATGAGAAATTAATTTTCTTTGGTTCCTTAATATTACAAATTTTACTAAAATAGATTTCCATTGAAGCACAGATTCCTGGATAACCTATGTACAGAGAAATGAGGGGCGAATAGTTTTGAGGAGTAGTCCAAAGTATATTTAGCAGACCTCCAGAGCTAGCAAACTATAATTCAAAAAGATAACTAGATTTTGGATTCTTCTCTCTATACCGAACTGTTCTGGGCAATCTCTTTGGGCCAGTATAGCCAGCTTCCATAAAACCCTGCACTTACAATCAAGGTTAGCATTATGGCTTGATCATTCAGTAGTAGTTAGTAACAATTATAACCTGCCTCTTTAAAAGAAAGGGACTGTAGTATGTTATCACTCATAAAAGTAAAATAGAGGACATACAATCTATTAGTCATCAGTGTGAAATATGTAAAAGCAGCAAAGAGTCCTGTGGCACCTTATAGACTAACAGACGTAAGATAACAAAACTTTTATTTAGAGGTATTTCACTTGGGTTTGCCTTTGAAACATCTCTCTTTGGCTCAAAAGTTTGAGTATATCATCTTATTTTTGCCCAATTAAAAGGAAACTACTTTGGTACACTTTTCCTCCAAGACCACAGTGTGTGTATATGTATATATATATATATATGTACATATACATATACACACACACATATACATATACACACACACTCCAGAATAAATATCTGTGTAACCTGGTCACCACTACAGGTGGAAGCTCTACCATCATTTGTTTTCCTAGCTTGGAACCTTCCTTGAAATTCTTCCTCTAACCTTTAACTCCATTCTAAACCAACACTAAACTTTTCCAACAATTCCTTTATTAATTTAGAACAAAAACTGCTGAGCAGTTTTAGTGGTATAGTAGTATAAAATCTCAAGAATTTTAATAATAATGCTGTTTGCATGAAAGAGACCGGAAAGGAGCCACAAGACATACGGCACCCATCCTACAATACTGGTTTACACTAACAGATCTGATCATAACAGTGGGACTGTAGCATCCTTGTGTTCATTTCCAGTCTTTGTAATAAACCTAATGCACATTAAAGGTTTTCTTTGGTTGTTTTGAAACTAACATTTTCTGAATGATACAAAAAAGTGAAAAACGTGTAAGGAAAGAAAGCTTTGCATTGGGTGCATAAAGTTTAACAACACAAGAATCTTAACACTTCTTAATCAACGTTTGGTGTAGTGGTCACATAAAATTTCCCACAACTCAAGCTTCCTCTTAACTCAATGCAAAGAAAGGTTTACATGATGGTTGCACAATGTTTTCTACCAGGATGCTTCTAACATTTAATGCAGAAAACCATGGGCCAGTACATGAAGTTTTCATTAACAACCCAGTATAAAATTCTATAATGCTCCAGTTGTGGTTGGGTCTTCAACACCTTCTCATAATATTGGTGATATCAGCAGACTGCATTCTCAGTTTGGACTGTGGACATTATTCATTTTAGGGAGATTTTTTTATTGGACCAAATTCCGTTGGCGAACGTGACAAACTTTCAAGCTGTTTGCTGCTCAAAAGCTTGTCACATTCGCCAACAGAAGTTGGTCCAATAAAAAAAAAATGACCTCACCCACCTCATCTCTCTAATTTCCTGAGACCAACATAGTTACAACACTGCAAACAACTATGCATTTTGTCTGTCAATTAGCTGTTTGTCCCATCTTCTTTCTATCCCTCTCTGGTCTTCCACTGCCAACGGAACACTTTCAACCCTCTATGGCCCTCTAGCCTTCCCTCCCACTTTCCCGTTCTTCCCCACTCATACATATACCACTCTTCCCTTTCTTTCCTTTTCTACTTCCTTTGTCAAATTCCCCTTACGCCACTCCTATAATAAAAATAAATTATTTGGAACTACTACGTCAGAACTATCTGGTGGGAACACACGACTGTTTGCAACGCCCACTTGTTGAGTCTTGTTTCAGATAAAACTTAAGGTGTTTAGAGCAGAGACCATATCTAAATGTGTACTTGCAAAGCAGATATCACAAAGGAACCAGGCCCTTCAGGTTCTAATACAATATAAACAACACGTTTGAGGCGATGGGGTTTTATCTTCTGGTCTGGGAGCAGCAAATCCTTTTGCACACAGCCCACTGTTCACCCATAAAATAGCAGGTGACTGAGAGGTGAAAGACCTCATGTGACAAATCTGTCAATAGTTCATGTCTTCAATCCCCTTTATAAGGATATCATCAACAATTTGGCAGTAACCAGCAGCCACACTGTCCGATGGGCAAAAGGGGAGGGAGAGGGTTCAGAAAGGAGAACGGAGACGTTTGGTAAAAGAGAGGAGGAATGAGTCTCCACGGCAGAGCAAGGGCGTAGTTTGGGGACGGGCAGCGGGGCGTTGCTCCCTCAAACTGCAAACCTCCGGCAGGCACGGAATTTGCCTCCTCCATGCATGCCCCATTCTCCTGACTGGAGCTCCCCTCCCCAATATAGAAGTCAAACTACGCCTAAGCGGCAACGTTTTTAAATAAAATACCTGCCACCTGGCACCAGATGCTCTGGAGACGCGTGGGTATGAGCCCCAAGGAGGAGTCACTCGTGGCAGGAATGGGATAGCGGCGTCTAGAGGGAGCAACTCCAGAGACCGGGAATCCACCCTGCGGCCCAACCCCACAATCTCCCCCCAGCCCCAGGAAGCTCTCGCTCAGCGCACTGTGGCCCCACCGGGAAAGCTTCTGCCTCCAAACCACGGAGCTGCCGCCACCACCCACCCCCCTCCGGCCACCCACCACCTTCGCCCCCGTCCAGCCCCCCGGCCACCCACCCACCTTCGCCCCCGTCCAGCCCGGCCTCACCAGCTCTTTCTCGCCGGCTGAGCTCGGGTCGGGTTGGGCTCAGCGACCCGGAACATGAACCCGGCGCCTCCCCCGGCCGCTCCCCGGGGAAGCTGATGCCGCTTCGCAGAGACTCGGGGAGGCGGCCGAAGCCGGGCGAGCGAAAAGGGGTGTCGGGATCGCTCTTTGCCCGCGCCTCACTCCCCCATGCTAGGAGCCCGGAAGCGGCTACAACACCGGCAGGAAGTAGGGCCCAACCATCCCTCCTGCTCCTGCCTTCCCCACCCGCGGTCCGCTGCCGGGAGGGAGCTCGGATGGTACGGCCCATAGCTGGGGGTCTCGCTCACCACTTCCCCCCAGCACTCCACCGTGTCCTACCTTCTCCCCCACCCTGGCCGGCGGGGCCTGTAGGGAGGAATTACCTCCCCCTCAGCCATGTGGTACGGTCTGGTTGCCATGGTGACGGCCTATACACCATCGGGGCAGGGGGAACATGGCCACTTTGGCCAGGCTGCAAGGGAGGCTGCCAGGCCAGAGGGAGGAATATTTCCATAGGAACAGGTAACGGGCCCGCTGCCCCCGCCCCCGTGGGCCTGTCTTGGCCTCACAGCACTTCCCTTCTGGGGAGGAGCACTGGTAAGAGCCAGGCCAGCGCACTGGGATGGGACACAGGTTCTCCAACTGATGGTGGCACCTTGCGAGATCACCCCCATGGCACGTCCCCAGGTCACCACATTGCACCAGCGCAGTGTTGCATTGTCATTGGGACATTGCCATGTCCAGTTAGCACTCTCAGATCGCTGTCAGTGCTTAATAGTTATATTCCCCGAGCGCCCTTAAACCCCAATTAGAATCAGGACCCTCTGGGGCTAGGCACAGAATAAAAGGTGGTCTGTGTCCCAAAGAGCGTACAGTTATCATGCCATGTGAAAATGTTGCCATATTGTATCAAGTATATTACCGCACTGCAACATTATATCAAAATGTCGCGGGACGGGGTGGGGGGGGGTAATAGGCGCCTATATAAGAAAAAGATCCAAAAATCGGGACATCTGGTCACCCTACGCTAGGGTGAATAAAAATCCCATCGCGGCACAACAAAATATCATTCTTCTGGGGGAACACTTTTTTGTGACTTAGTGTTTCATAAGCTCAGAAAGTGATTCTCAGGGCAATCCCTTGTAGAAACCAAAGGCAATAGTAATTCTGCTTATTAAGGAGAGTGTTGTTATACCACAAAAATGGTGTCCCAAATCCTTCACTAAAATAATGTATATAACTAACAGCTCTAAATTAGCATCCACTTCTGGAGTTTCCTGAGCATTTTATACAACACACTATTTAAATGGTAAGGTCCGTAGAGAAGAGAATAATGTCTCATCCACAGCTAAGCAAAATATTGGTGCTTAAGTAATTACCTATTTTGTCAAGGGATTTCATAGATTTTTAAGGCTCAAAGGGGCCACTATGACAATCTATTCTGACTTCCAGTACAACAGGGGCTATAAAACCTCACCCAGTAATTTCAGCCTCAAGCCCATAACTTCTATTTGCGCTAGCACTATTTTTTAGAAAGATATCCAGTCTTGTGATGGAGAATCCATTATGTCCCTAGATAAATTGGTGCAATGGTTAATAAGCGTCACTGTTTAAAAAATGTGCTTTATTTCTAGTCTGAATTTGTCTAGCTTCAGCTTCCAACCATTGGATCTTATTATGCCTTTTTCCTCTAAATTAAAAAGTTGTCTACTATCTGTACTCTCTCCCCTGTGTAGGTGCTTGTACACTGTGATCAAGTTACCTCTTAATGTTTCCTTGGATAAACTAAATAGAGTGAGCTGCTTAAATCTCTCACTATAAGGCCTATTTTTCAAATCTCAAATAATTCTTGTAGCTCTTTTCCGAAAACTTTCCAATTTGTCAATATGTTTTTTGAAGTGTGGATACCAGAACAGGACACAGTATTCCACTCACGGTCTCCCTAATGCCATATACAGAGATAATACCACCTCCCTATTCCTGATAAAGAGAGGTATGGAAAGGACAGTCCTTTACTTGCTAAAGGACAGTGTGTCAGTGGCAAGCCTGGAATAGAGTCCAGAATCCTGACTTGCAGTTCAAGCTGTAACCTCTGGACACACCACTCGCACACCTAAGTAGACAATTTACGTGCTTCTTACAGCTATAGCCAATTAAAAATGCAAAAACAGTCACGCAGATTTGTGTTTTTGACACATATATTTAAAATATAAAAGGGACACGGAATTAATTATGTCCATCTCTTTGAGATTTTTAATAGGTGACAATATCAGACTTGTGTAATTTGCAGTGTTTGCTAAATATATTGATATGCTAATTACCTTGGTCTGCTGCTTCAAGGCCTTTGTGTGGCTTCTGTACACTCCTATTTTCTCTAAGAATTTCACAGTTAAATCACTTTTGCAGATTCAGATAATAAAAGAGTCAGTAATAATTATATTGACTGGTGCCATAATATTGTGAGTTGAAATCAGTTTTGGGTGAAGTTATTCTGAATGTAGCCTGTGTTCAAAATACATTGTATGTGTATATGCAAAACACTGTAGGTAATGAAAGTGCATTAAATAACATTTATTTTGTGTCTGCCTTGGTTTCATGTTATTGAAAGTTACTTGGAAGCATAAGTCACAGTAAATGTTTGTGAATGGAGTAAAGATAACCCTTGACATTCAAACCGAATGTGCAGTTTGAAAGGTGAAAACCAAACCCTAGCTCCAATTGTTATCTTTCTAGTGTTGGCAAGGGCTCTTCACTACCAACAGATAAACATTACAAGAGAAAATAGAACAAAAGATACAGTAACTTTCAAGCGACATACAGAGCCATCAAACCAGATCTAGTACAATGGTGACAAGAAAGAGTGGAAGAGTAATATCTGTCTGATATGAAGATGTAAAGAAGAAATTACCAACTAGTACAATAAATTACATACCAACAGAACAGATCACGTTCAAAGAGCAAAACCTTATTGCAAACTTTAAATAATGAGATTCTTCTAACCCAACTAAATGTACTGGGGGCAGCTTGGAGAAGCAATAAGAAAATAATTTTAAAAGGTGATAGTAAATAATAAAAATGTGATTGTAATGCTTCAATAAAATTAAAGTATAATTTCAAATAGTTTAGTTCAGCAATTTAATACTTTTATTGTGAAAAGATATAATTAAACAGAAACTAGAAATGATCTTGTAGCTGGTTTCTGCCCCTTAGCATTGAAACTGCCCTTAAAAATGTTACTAATGGTGTTTTTCTGGCCAAGTAGCAAGTCTTCTTCCCCATTCTTATTGGTCTTGATGTGTCTTTTGCCTTTGTCACAGTTATGGCTCTCCTAATAGACAGCCTCTCCCTTGTCTCTCTCTCTGGCACTATCTGTCTGAATGCTCCTTAAGAATCTCTGTTAGGGTCTTTGCACTTGGCCCTCTTCTCTTCTTTACAACTACCTTATACTTAGACTTCCTAATTTATCATACAGCTTTTACCATTAACAACTCTCAGACCTACCTGTATCCTTCGATTTCTCTGCCTATTCTCATCTCATATCTTCAGCTGCCTCACCAACATCTCTTCCTGGATGACCTGCCTCCACCAGAAATTGAAAACTGAATCCTTATCTTTCCCCCCAAACCTCCCTTGTCTTCCCTTCTTCATTACCATTGGCAATTCCATTAGATTCTGCATTCTTTGGGCTTGCAACATCATCATACTTTTATACTCTTTTCTTCCCTTCCCCCTCCCACTGCACACATTGATGCTATCTCTGAATCCTACCATTTTGCCCTCTACGACGTCTCCAAAACTCATCCATGACCATGCTTCTCCATGCCTATTGTGAAAACTCTAGTATTGGTGAGAAACTAATAGTATCATCTTCATCTCACTGAACATTTCCCATGAAATAGCTGTTAAGCAATATGTGCTGAATATTTGAAAAGGTAGGGCTGTGATGTATGAAATGACAAATGATTTGACAAATGAGTTGCTCACCAGGTTGTCTAATTCTACCTCTTCTTCCAGAGTCACCTATCTTGAAAATGTTTCAGCCTGAACTGGATTTTCAATAGTTATAGTAGATACTTTTAATTAAGATGACAACGACCTCCCAGCCTTTTTTTCACTGTATGCTGCTTCAGTACAGCTTTGGTAACACATTTAGAGCCTGATGTAACCTTATTGTAGTCAATGGGTCTTTCTATTGATTTTAGTGGGCTATGGATCAGGCCCTTACTTTTACATAATTAATTCATTTAATACTCATTGTGATAATACTGATCATAGTGAATTTATCTGATATTCATGTCAATGTCATATTTTATGTACCTCTATAGGATTTCTATTGTAATTCAGCACTAATTAATTAAAATAAAGTGTTATCCACATTTTTCATTTAAAGCATAAGAAGTCTAGAAGTTCATAACATATTGGCATCATTGTTCAATATCACATGTACCTGGGAACTATATTTCTCAGGCATTAGAAAAAAGCACATAAAATTAATGTGTCAGCACACAAATTACAACTCCTCTTACACTGCAGTAGCTTACCCAAAAAAATCTTTTTAATGTTTCCTTTAAAAAAAAAAAAAAAAAACAGGATCCATCTGGATCCCATCAACTGGGATGTTTTACATTTTTTTACATAAAATTTTTTTTAGCCTTCTTTCTTCATCCCACATGATTTCTGGTCTCCTCTGTTACTTTATGTTCTCCTCCCACGAATGTTAACAAAGATGCATAATCAGAATGCAAAATAACTTAATTTTTCCTGTAAATTTATATTTAGATTGTTTTATATTGTTTATAATAAAATCCTTAAAATAGAGCAGAGCCGTTGCACTGTTGTCCTTGGAAGACTGGGGCTTTAATTATCTCTATACTATCTAATCATCATGGGATATTTTGTTTTGCATCATTCCTAAGAATGGTAATATGTTAAGCTGGGGGGTGAGGGGGAAGAAAGGTTTAAAAAGAACACAAGTTGTCCCCTTAAGAAAAAATTTAGATGAAAAAAATCTCTCTGATTTATTGTTTTGATTTTAAAGTAAACTACTGAGAATGCTAATCACAAAACGATTATTTTGAAAAAATGTTTTCAGAGCTGTAGATGAATACAGAAAAGCAGAGCACAATGCTGCTGTACAAATCCAGAGCTGGTTTCGAGGATGCAGAGTCCGAGCATATATCAGGTATTATGATTTTTTTTTCTATTTTAACCCATATTTTCAGTCACTCATAACTTTCCAAAATTCTCACATATTATACTTGGCTTGTTCTCTCTCTCTGAAAGTGAATGTTTCTGTAAAATGTGAACAAAAACGATTATTCTGTTTTTGAGTAGCATAAAAATATATCCTGCTCCCCCTCAGTTAAGGTAGGTTATAAGACAGGGGGGGTTGTCAGTCATAGGAGTGCCATGCCAGTCATGCCTGCTGGATCAGTCATTGGAGCCCCAACACCCCCTCCCCAATTCCACTCCTTTCAAAAACCACATCCTTTTTAATTCCTTTGCCAAGCCATTTATCTGGTCACTGTATCCCTTTCTTATGGAGTATCTGCACTGGACATCTGCCCCACACTTACATAATGAGTTGCAACATCAAAGCCTAACTCTCTTCCTGACTCACCATAACAAAGCCCTCCCTGAACCTGCTGCGAGGAAGGTGAAAAAAACTAGACTCCAACTAGGCCAATCTGGTGGTTAGGGAAAAATTCCTTTCCAGTCCCCCTACAAAGCAGTGACTAGCATGATGCCCACGGCAGGTCCTGACCATACCTGGTAGTTTGTCATCTCAAGGGGAGGGAAGGTAGGTGCTGCTTTGCCTGGTGTGGGGGAAAGGGGCTTCTCTTGCCAGACTCACCCCTTTTCAATTCCTCAGCCCTTCCAGTCCCTGGGGATGAGTCAGCATCGCCATACTGACCCATTGCCCCTTTTACAGAAGCTTGTAAGCCCTTCTCCTAACCCCCATTAGAAAAGCACTATTCTCCATCCCCTGGCAAGCTGGACAATTCCCCCACTTAAGGTGCAGTGCAGTCATATGCATAAATCTTTGCAGGATTTGGGGCTGTCTCATAATGTATTAGGAAGCAAAGCAAAGTTGTTATGCCAGCACCTAAGCTGGCTGGGAATTTTTTTTTCCCTTGGAGAAATATCAACAAAGCCAAAACATGTTTCCTTATTGTCAAATTTTCTACAACTCCCAAACTGAAAATTTTAGAAATTTTTCAGTTTTCAACATTTTCCCATTTGACCAACAAAAGTTCTGGACCATTCAGAAGTATTAACTGTATTCTCCATGAATTGTTTAACCAGTCACACAAACACCCATTCTTAAGTCTATTTTGTAATGCTTAATAATGAATAACTTTTATAAGATTAAATTTAAGTAAGTTTGCTGTAACCCACTTTTTGGAATAAGTATAGATAACATACAGCATTGCCTATATTATTCTTTCAATGTAATCATTTGTAATCAAAATATTTTGTTTTAGGTATCTGAACAAAATGATGATTAATATCCAGAAATGGTGGAGAGGCTATCAAGGAAGAAAACACTTCAGAAAAATGGTGGAGGTAACAAATGGGTTTTACAATTATTTTAGATATTTTATCACCCAAATGTACAGCTGTTCATTAACTTGCCCCTGGTTCTAGTCCAAAAGTTGAGAGTTTAGGCCCCGAGCCTGCATACACGTATGCATATTCTTAACTTAACTACCGTGAGTAGCTCCATTGATTTCAATAGGACTATTCATGGTAGTGAAGTTGAGCACATGCATTCCTGTTTGCAGGATTGGAGATTTAGGCTTCAATCCAACAATGAGCTCTGCACTTGCAAAAGTCTGCCTGTGTTAAGCTAATTGCAGAAAACAGGCTTTCGGTTGGAAGTGCTGTTTTCCTGGCAGTACTCTTAATTCTGAAAAAAACAGAATAAGTTAATATCTCTACACATCGCTATTCTGTGTTTTAGTGGTTTAAATTTCTTACTTCATGAACCTTGAAATATTTGAGGTTTTGCCTTGGGGCATACAGCAGATCACAGCCAATCTAATTTGTTCTTCATTTATTTTTGACTAATTTTATTGAAGCCAAATTGTTGTTTTTCAATATAGAAATAAAAATACAGAAAGAAAAAAATGTAGAGTACTAAATAATAATAGTTCAGATACTGTTGACTTGTTCCCCACTGGTTGACCAGCTAGTTAGTCAGACTGAGTCATCTTTATGGGCCACGTTTTCAAGGAACTTCCTATCTTATTGCAATTTGTTTGTGGAGAATGGATAACTACATGCTTAAACTGAGTTCTCTTCTGAAAAGTGACTGTGTGTGCTTAGTGGGACTTAAGTGGTATATAGTCACCCCCCGGTGAATGTTCTAAACAGTTAACAAAAATAGGATTGGACTTATCTCAAAAACATATACAGTAAAATTCTGAAGATGGCAATTTAATCTTGACATTCAAGAATCAGAATCAAGGAACAACAGTCTCTGTTTCTTGCACCTGACCACAGACTTATTTTGAGGGCTTTAGTAGGACACAGGTGGCACATAGGCCTTATGTTGACCCTCTGCACTCAGGTCAATGTCACTTTTTGTTCAGATCACCAGATCTATGTGGGGATGTATCATCCTTACGCCAACCTAATGTAAAGTTCCATGAGAAGGTAAGGGTCACGATGGGACACTTGCCTGGCAATGGCTCATGGCCTTGTAAGACAAAGGCGCCCCCTGGTGGTCTAGGGATTATATAAGATGAGGTAAACAAGGTAATAAATCATGGCCTTATGTAAGGAACGGTTGAACCAATCGGTGTGGGGCTATACATGTGATAAACACATGATTCTCCTTCTCATCCAATCCGTAGATGTGTGATTATAGCCTAATTGTGTTATGTAATGTTGAGAAAGACTATAAAAGAAAGCTTGTAATAAACAGGATTCGATTCAGCTTGCAACCACATTGGTCGTGTGCTTTATCCGCTCCGCATGGGACCCCACAGATCTACACAGGCAGATATCTCTGGACATTCACATATTCAAATGCCAATCTTTTGGTAGACAATAATCACTTTGTGGCTAAAATAGTAATGGCATCATCTGATGTTCAGTCATTTTTTTATATATACACCTCTACCCCAATATAACGCTGTCCTCGGGAGCCAAAAAATCTTACTGCATTATAGGTGAAACCGCGTTATATTGAACTTGCTTTGATCCACCGGAGTGCGCAGCCCCTCCTCCCCCCGAGTACTGCTTTACCGCGTTATATCCGAATTTGTGTTATATCGGGTCGCGTTATATCGAGGTAGCGGTGTATATGTGGGAGGTGCGTTGAGAGTGGTGACACAGACTGACAAAGTTTCTGATGTAGAGCTCTCAAATGGGGCACAAAGGGAACAACACATCATCATTTTGCTGGGTGGGGACATGGAGGAGGAATTGCAAGACTGTTCTTCACCAGTGGTGCCCTGTACTATTGCCTTGCCCTTTGAGGCTGTTTGACCTCAGCTCTTAGTGGCCTGATTATCTTTCTATTGTTTCTCTTCAAAGAATTGCCCTAGCAATTCAGTTTTGTGACAAGAGTCAGTCTCTTTCGAATTAACACAAATTCCCTTCAGTCTGTCAGAATGACAAACATTATTTTAAAATAAAAATAAACCAGCTCTCCACCCTTTAAATTAATTATATAGCATCTGCGAAAGTTCTTAACAAATGAAAAGTGGTTTTAATTGTGGTTACTGTGACACACTTTGTGCAGGGCACATCATTTTCTAAGTCTCCCAGTTTATCTACTGAACTGGGCAGAAACAGTAACAATGATGGGAGAGAAAAACTAGCAATGGGGGCAAGCAGGTATCTTGAAGCTGAGGTCAAGAAATTAGAAAATGGTAGGGAGCAGCAAAGCATCAGTCTGAAGGATGGATTTAAAAGACAATTTCTCTCATGCACAAGATGAAATTGCTTCAAATGGAGACTTTTCAAATTATATGGGCTCTAGAGACTCAAGCTTCCCCTGAAGTTCTGGAAGGTGGTAGAGGACAAATAAAGGCAAAACAGCCTGTATATTTAAAAGACAGGATAATAGGATTTACCATTCTGGATCAGATGATCCATCCATCTTGTTTCTGGTAGTAGCCAATGCCAGATGATTAAAAGAGAAACAAAAACACACCATAAGGCTTCTCAGTTGTACAGTGGTGAGCATGGAAGAACTTCACCCCCTCAGTATCTTATGTTGTACTTACCAGCAATTTGGCTGAGGAGGACTGGATTTGACAACTTTTGGAGTTTGTCAGTACAACTTCTGAGTTAGCCATGTGAGTTTCTGCAGAATGATATCAGGTGCATCTTTCTCCCTATTAATCAGTAGGCTCCTTACTCACTGCTCCCACATATTTATGCCCTTGGATTTAGAGAATGAACTTGAGTCTTGTGCCTAAATTGTCTGTGCACTAGCATATTGTGCTACCTTTATTAAACCACTGGGCTGGCTCAACTTGGAATGTTTCAAACAATGAAATGGTCTAGCAATTTAGGACAAATTTAAGTTAAAATAGTAGTAACATTTGTGTTAAACTCTTCTTAACAATTATCTTAATGACTCTAATGATAATTAAACAGGATGCGGTGGACATGATAATTGTTAGATAAAAAAATAATTGGTCACTTTAAAATTTGTCTGCTGATAATGACTAGATTGGTATCAGTTGCCAGCAAACAAGGTAAAGCATATGCACAAAATACCCATGATTACTTGATAATAAATCATTTTAATTATTATATTCAAAATTGTGAAATGAAAGTAGCACTGATGCGGAAAATAGCAAAGGCTCAGGCTCATCAGATCTGCTCTCCATATGTGCATCACTACTAGTATTTTCAGTTGTTAGTATTCCAGTGCACCTCCCTCATAGTGCTCAAATCCAGTAAATAAAGTTAACTGAGTTTATAACTTTATGGAGTCATCCTGCAAATTAGTTATGTATCTTACTATTTTTTAAAGATAGGTGTGATATAAAAATATACGTTTTTCTGACTATTTTTGTCAAGTTAAAGTTCTAATTAACCTTTTGTGTTCATTCTGGTTATCCATATGATGCAAGCTGGACTGAATGGACAATTTCTTCCACAGTCTGGGGCCTTGTCCTGCAGAAAGGAATTGGGTTTTGTTTTTTTAAATAGTAGCTCAGATTTTTTTCTATGAAACACAGCCCAAAGGGCAAGAAATCCCTGTAAGATAAAAGGAATTCTAAGGCTTCAGGACAATGTAACTAAAGACAGTATAAATTATGAACATATTTGTTACTAACTTTGAAGAGATCTACATTAAAAACATTTTAATACTTTGTATACATCACAGTTCAATGCTGTCTCAAGGCCAAATTCAGCAACTCATGTTGAGGAGGCCCCATCAATGTGACTTCTTGGGTAAATTCTACTGATTGGTGCAGAAGGGTGACACAAGGCCTGTGCACCACTTAGGCTACATGTTAGGCCCCATTCCAATTCCCATTGAAGTGATGTTTCTCCCTGAATGTAGTTGCATTGTGGATCCATTTATGTGAGGAAAATGACCCATCAGTAACAGATCATTTTCCTATTGGAGATGAATCCTGGAAGTATTTCAGAACAGAGAAGAAAGGAGAATATTGATAATGATAGATAACTGTGCTGTTATTTACTTATAGAGGAATTCTAAAATAATTTCTAGAAGTGCTATGTTTTGGAAGTAAACCCCCAGGAGGCCCTACATACTAACATCAGGGATATGCATAACGATTTATAAGTTACTGGTCCATTTTGGAATAAAACCCTTTATAGCAGGACAGAGGCCACAATACAGGAAATTATCCCCATTCAGGAAAGCACATAGGCACATACTTAAAGTTAAGCAAGTGTTTTGGTGCTTTCGTGAATAGGATTGGACTTAAGCAGATACTTAAATGTTTTCCTGAATTGCGGTTAGAATGAGGAGGGCAACACCATTTGCCAAACAAGCTGACATTAAATGCACTTGGTAGAATTCTTTCTGTTTTTTCCCTCTGAAATAGAAAGTCTATTGATTAAAAGGGTCCATACAGACTTTGAGCTGGTAATCAGTGAACAGTTGAACGAGGAAAACAGATTCTTCCCTCTCTAAACCCAGAAGCAATATATGGATCATCTTCCCAGGTGAACCATGATCACCACTATGGCCTTTGACCTCTGGTAGCATACACAACTTGCTGAGTCCTGTGTGATGGCTGTGGCTAGCAGGTCTGTGCACATGGTGCACCATCGGCCACATCTCCACCACACATGACACCCTTCACACCCCTGGTTAATAGGCTCGCAGAGCCTGTCTTTGTAGCATGCAGGAAAATGTGGCTTCCGTTTGCTTAACCCATCTGTATTCAGCACCCTGTACTATGAAACTATACACATGGCATTGTGTTATGGGCCTCGGGATTTCACCCATATGAAAAGTAAAGAAAGTGTCTGTTGAGCATAAAAGAGAGTGATCCAATAGTTGCACAGTCACACATTCTGGATGCATATACAAAGTGTTTGGAGGTGGAAAAAGACAGAGAGAGGATTCTTCGTTAGCATTTGTTTCCTTTTAGAAGTTACTTACTCTCAGCACTTCTATGTATCTTTTAAATCAGCTTAAAGCAACCAAGAAAATGTGTATTATTTAATGACCAAATCTAGAATAATTAAAATACAATAGCTACATTAATTGCTATAGCAGCCAAGGGAACACCAATTATTAAACTGCTCTATCTAGAATGACTCAACTCCATATTCCACCAGATAGATTTAATTAATATTGTTCACTATATAAGTGCCAGTCTGGCTAATATCCAGAGACAAAAATGCTAGAAAAAATTGTCTCACTTTCTTTACCTTTTCCATTTTGGGACCCAGAAGCTTGATGGGATGCTTGCATTTTACTACTAGAGGATCAGGTGTTTTTCCTCTAGGATCATAAGCTGTAATTAACATTTCCTTTCTTCATTTCAGTTCTTACTTCCTTCATTCTCTTTTTCCATAATCACCTGTACAATGAAAAAAGTTAAAATACTGTTATATCTAGATGAGCAAACTTTTCTCTCTGTCTTATTTATATCCTCCATACTCCTGATCAATTAGCTCTTAGGATGCTGACCAGTTACCACTGCTATGAAACAAGCTTGCTACCCTTTTGGCTGGCTCCTACACTCTGTGGAACTTGAGTTGTTAGGCTCCTAAAGTTGTAAGGTCCAAAACTTTGTATGTATGAAACTTAACAGTTCTTGCAGGATTATTTGTCACTGGGCATAAAGGGGAGTGCATGACAGTTTAATCAGCTGGGAGAAGGGCTTGTTACTCTTGTCAGAGGAAGAGGTTTGTAGAAGAGAGGGGAGGTAGAGATATTTGTCCCTAGGTAGAAGGTATGGAGGGTTTTGCCTCCTGATGTGGACACTTGGGGCTTTTTTCATTGTGAGAGGATTTGGAGAGTCAGGCAGGACACACGTTTTGAGAAGGGAGAATAGGCCCCCTCCTTTTCTCTCCATTTCAGGTATAGTATTGTGAAGCAAGGGAAGTTGTCTGGGTAATTCTCCATGTGACTGATCTGTGCCTTAGTCCCATGCTCTTGTAAGAGCAGGCTATTATAAGGCCCCTTTTTACGAGAGTCACCTTCCTTAATAGTGTTCTGGCTTAAAAGTGTAAGCGTCCTCAGCATGCAGAAGTGGAATTCCCTCAGCAAATCAGGAGAGGAGCCAAAAAGGTGTTTTAAACTATTCTTGCTCAGTGGCAAAACAGGAGGTCATTTCCAAACCCTGGCCACTTCCAACAAAAAATTAATTCATAAATTGGCTGTACCAGCTTTTGCATTCTTACCAAATTTGGAAAAGATGAGAGGTGAAGCAAAATTGAATCCATTTAATCTAACAGCTTCAGAATATTCCTGGGAATGGAATGCATTATTTCATTGCTATATTTGTAGTCTACAGCTAACACCATTCATGAAAGATTTATGGAGAGAAAAGTTAAGACAGATGCCATTAACTGTTCTAATTCATAATTTTGGAGTTGAGCTGCTGTTTGAACGTCCATAGAAAGCAAAACGTTTTCAAATTTAATACATTAGAATTCCTGCAATTTTCTGCATAAAAATGGCATCTTTGCAATTGTTTCTGTTTATATTATTAGTGAAGCAGTATAATATTAAAGTAAGTATTTAAAATGCACTTTAATTAAACTGCAGGACTTATGCCTTACTTAATGTAATGAAGAAAGAGAATTTAAAATGAAGTAGCATCATTGTATTCATTTGTAAATAACATATTGCAGCCAACTGTTTCTTAATTGCCCAGACTGTTGATAAATAATCCAGTCCTGCTGCTCTCCACAGACAATTTGCTTTGGATCAGAGTAGGCAATTCAAATAACACTAATTACAGTGAAACCCTTTTATAGTGAATTCCTGTTTGCCATGGGGGAAAAAATTCACTATATCAGGGGAAAGCACTTTTGCCTTTGATTTGTGTCTAAAACATGAGAAAAACATAAAAGCCGCATGTTGTGCTAAATAAAGAATGTACACTTGCATTTAAAGTACTTATATTTTACTTTTTATGATACAGTTGTGAATTATGTTCATTTTGCATTTGTAATTAGAGGGCGGAACAGATGTGAAAGCTTAGTTTAAAGTGATGTATCCATTAAAATAACCTATGCTGCCAAGTGATTGTTCAGTATAACAGGGGATCCGTTCGCTATGAGAGGAATTCTACTTTATTGGAAGGAAACCAGGGCTTTAGGAAATGTTGTCTACATCAGGGGATTCGCTGTAACATGGTATCATTGTATTTATGATCTTATGATGTTAAAATGAATATTAAATGAAACAAAATTCCCAGAATTACTCAGGAGGCAGCTAAGTACATAACATTTAGTACAGATGGTTGGAAGGCACAATTTTGCTCCATCACCGCATCCGTATCCTTGAACGATTTCAACTGAAGACAGCATTTCTTTGAATTTTTCATTAAACCAGACGTCTTGAAATATGAATTCCTTTTATGTTTCTGTGAGTTTTGGCTAAAAGAACCCCAGTGAATAAATCATATAATACTACGTGTCACCAGCACTTGTGAATATTTCTGCTTTGTTATTCTACTCTCAGTAGAGCACCATTGATTATCAAACTCAGCGGAGAGCATTTTATGATCATATATCTCCATTAGCTCCTACTTTGACTACCATAGATTTTTCTGGTTAAGCCTGCATTATGTATTAGGAAGCCTATCTCTTCAATATAAAGTTTGATTTTATTCTCTCTAAGCCTAGAACTCTTATTATGTATTATGTATAAAGATTCTTATATTTTATATGTAAAAATAGGAGCACTATCTTTGTGTAACTGAAATGTATGCCATCTTTTCTTTTCTTGATTCACAGACAGCATATTTTATTATGAAGATGAATTTCTACAATGAAATGGCTGTCAGGGTAAATATTTCTTCACTTGTTAAACAAATGAAAAGTCAATTGTGCTCCGAATTTGCTTTTAATAAAATGAGCAAACCAGAATATATAAACTTGATTGATATGCTGATGGTAAAGGGGAGGAAATAGCATATAGTTAAAAATTAAAGTTACACTAAGTAATCGTGGTGGTATTTGAAAATTTACTGCTAGATTTAAGACAGTTGTATGTAAATTCTTGTACCTTTTAACATATGGTGATAAAAGACAAAAATACCAAAAAGCAACCCACATATATGCGTGTGTGTGTGTGTGTGTACAAACTTAAACTGAATTCCCATCTTTGTAAACTATGACTTTGTGTGACTCCTCCAAATCATAGTATGATATCTGTGCCTATAACATCTTTAATTTAACTTTTATGCTCTATTCTTTTGGAATAAATTAGTAGAACTTCCATGCATTTATGTATCGTTAGATAATATGATAGTACATCATATTAGCCACTGTCGTATTTCAACTTTTATTAAATGCAGTAGTTTAATATTCATAGAGCCCATTAGCCCCATAAATTGCTAGGGTGTCTGATTGAATCCATTTGCAAAATACATTTGGACCAATTAAAATAAACTTATAACAACACTAAGAATGGTTGTTTTTTCTAACGTTGTGGTTTTAATCAGGAAAGAACTGAGTGGAGTAGACATTAATAGCCTGTAACACCTTCAAGGATAGTTAATGAATAGCCAGACCTTGTCTGGTTGATAAATTTAGGATATTCTAATTCTGTTATATGTCTGATTGTTTCATATGAAAAAACATCTTTTTAAATTTTAATTGTTAAGTTGTGCATTTCTTGTCTCTTACTTATCTACCTTTGGCTACTAACTTAGACATATTTACAACTGGTTGAGATGTGGACCAGTGGGCCAATGTGTAGGAGGAGCATAGAGGCTATTGGCTATCTTTGAGAGGAAGTGAAACACAGACAGCGGTCACAGTCTTCATCCTTATACTTCAGGAATACAGATCAAAAACTAAGAAAAAGTGAATAATTTTAACATTATTTTTCAAGATCAATAAATATGGAGCTCCCTCTAAACTCTCATTCAGCTGCTAGAAGCTATCATTGAGAAAAATTTCAATGAAATTTTAATAAACTTTTGTGGCATTTTTATAGATATCATACAGAAGTGCTTTGAAACAATAACTTCCTAATTTCCTATGCATATCTTCCCACCTCCTTCATTTTTAGTTTCACAGTAGGAGGAGGTGCAGTGTAAATAAGCATCTCATTCTTTTGAATTGTATTAGTACTCCACAGAGGAGGTAAGAACACAGCAGACTTTATGTATCGTTGTGAATTTTAATGCTTTTGAAAGGTTCTGGATTGATAGCCGTGGCACAGAACAGATACATGAGCAGTGACAGTGCAAGCTTCTCTCACAAAACCCCTGCTAACGTGCGTCAGCCCTGATCTAAAGAAACCTCTAGATGGCTGGGGTAGTTCAGTCTCCAGACCCATTTGTCTCTGATGAAACTGCCAGCAAGGGTGGCAAATAGCAGTGATAGTTTGTGCAATATGTATGTTTGTTCCCTAGGAACCAGACTGGGACCATAAAATGCATTTCACACAGGTTACTGAGCAGCTATCATATGATGGTATCTTTGGTCTTGTAATGGACAGTGTAATTACTTCGTTAGTTAATAATATTGCAAATATTTTTTCTCAGGAAATACAGGAAAATACTCTGCTGCATGTGCCTTTTGTAAGAGAAAACATGGATACATATTAGTGCATGGCATGGCCCCATAATTTATTTATTCTACTGCTGCAGAAGCAGACATCCAGCTGGCAAAGTGAACACAAGTTAATTGACTAAATACATAGGCAGAACTGTGCTGACCTCAGTGATGATGTAATCAGTGATTCTTTAGAGAAAGAAGGATGCAAACAATCCTTGTACTTCATTTAATAAAAACAGAGAATAATAACGTTTGTCAAAGGGAAAACTGCAAAATCTATTGTATCCATTACATAAGTGGTTAGCAGTGTAAAGTATTGCATTCCTGGGCCATTGGGTCCCGATCCAACAATACATTTAAGCACATGTGTAATTTTAAGAACATGAATAGTCTTTAGAATGAGATCTTCATTCCTTTCCGGCCTCTTTACTCTGCATAAAAGGGCCAGAGTGGTGTAAAAGGACCCTAAAAGCCTGATATGTGTATGGGGGAGGATTTCCTTGATGCAGGAACTGCAGAAGACAGGCATTAGGCTTTATTCTAAGGATTCCATCTCCAGCCCTGATATAGGGGGTGTGTTGGAGTCAGGACTGCAACATGCAGTGCCATGGAGATCCCCATAGGGCAGCCTTGGGAGGTTGCTGTAACAGACCTCTGGAGCTTTTTAGGTTATACCAAGGGCCTCTATCACCCTTAGAGCAGCCCAAGGTTGGGAGGGCACAAGAGTGACTTAAACCAATTTAGTCACCTCTTCCTCTGGGTTGTGAGTTCAGTGCTGATTCTCTCAAAGTCATAGCACAGAATCTCACCCTTGGTACATCTCTTAGGAGTTGAAGATGCTTAGGGGCAAATCCTACCCCCTTTGTGAGTAGGCTCCAATTGCCCAGAAATACATATTTTGTTTTAGTTTATTGCTTAGTTAATAGCTGTTTTAAAAGTATTCTACAATGGGTTAAATGCTGCACTGATTTACATCTCATGCAGCTGAAGTCAGTGGAAAAGCACAGGATTTGTAAATCAGCTCAGAAATAGATCCTTTGCCTCTTTCAGCACTCCCAGGTTTCAGAAGCAGTTACATACTCAAGTCAAATATACTTGTGCAAAACTCCAAGGGAAAAGAGTAGGGCCTTTGATATGCAACATAAAACAAAACTTTTTTTTTGCACATTTGTAATCATAATATTGGGTCTGATTCTTAGCTGATATAAATCTGCGTAGTCCCATTGTTTTCAATGGTGTAAAACTGCCTAGCGTCACTGACTTCAGTGCAATTATATCAATTTACACCAATAGAAGATCTGGTCCATTGTTTTAATTTACTTATAAACACTGGCTGTGAGTCTCCATTACATACATCTTGTGTAGTCATTGATACCTATGCAAGTAAAATGCTACCATTTTGATATGGTAAAGTTTTATACCCATTTTGCCTCCTTATGCACAGGTGTAAATGGCTGCACAAGATGCAGGCCAGTAGAGAATAAGGTCTGTTGGGTTTAGGGATAGCTGCTATAGGGCCTGATTTACAACTGCTTTACTCCAGTTTTACATGAGTGTAAATCCATTGAAATCAGTGGAGTTACATTCATAGAAAACTGGAGTATAAAAGTCGTGAATAGGTTCTTTAGTGTGCAAGTGCATTATACTCTAAGCTTTAGAAAATTCTTTTAAAATCCAGATTAGATTAAAAGTGAAATGTGACTCATGGATTTAACCTCTTGTACACAATCAGTGTTTTGCCTCATAACTGTATCAGCCTAGTTGGTTACATTAGGAAAAGGCCTAAAACTGCAATAGTAGGAGTAACATTCAACACTAGGGTATACTCATAGTGGTCATGTTCAGAAGCTATCCCACATCTCTATGAGCCCCTGGATTGTTTGGCCCTAGCTACTGTTATCTGTCTCTCACCTCTGTAAAAACAGAAGCATTCAGAAATGGTTTAAAACATAAGATTATCATATTGAATTTATTTTCCATGAATCAATTTTGCTTTTTGAATATTGGGCGGTGAGATATTATTCTCTTTCTGTTTGGATGATTTAAGGTTGCTGTGAATTTTCAGCAACCAAGGTAATCCCCTCAAAATAAAATAATAATAATAAAAAAAATCTCCATGAGCAGATGGCTTTTGATATATCAAGGTTTTGCCATTTGTTTTAGTGCTTAAAATAAACATTATTTATAAGACCACTTACATTTTGATGTTACTTAATGAGGAATATGCATCATTGATTTGACTAGCTTAAGAGGTCATTTAGAACTTGCCTGTTAACAAGCTGTAATCTGCTGAGCACACAATGACTTTGTTTAAAATTATCTGTTCGGTGCTGATCAATGACAATAATTGTTTTGTACCAATCACTGTTGAAACTTGCTAATTACTTTGAAGGGCATACACAGTTGCCTTTTTTAGAAGTGTTAAAACATTCACCTTGGAATTAAAAAGCAATATAATCATAAAACATTGTATTCTCTTGCAAAAGCAAAATTTTCAGCAATTTTTATGTAGCAAATTTTAATATAAACAGAACCTTTGTGTAAAAGGTTGAAGATACACTTTATTCTCTAAACAATTTGTATTATATAGATTCATGCCCTCATGTAGCCTCTGACATGCAGAATTGAGAACATGGAATCATAGCATTACAAACTTTGAAATCTAGTCTGCTTTCATTTACACTAGCATATATCTAGCGTACTCCAATTGAAGTCCATGGAGTTACCCTGGATTTATAATAGTGTAATAGAGGGCAGAATTTGACACTTGCGGTGAAACACTGAGAGTTTTGCCATTGACTCCAGTAAGGCCAAGATTTCAGCCTTTGTCTTTAAATCTTGAAAAAATTCCATAAAGAGGTTGATGGACCGCACAAACTTGGAGTATCGTGTGAATAAAGATAAGGTACAAAGTGTTGGACAGAGTTCGAAGGATACTGCTTTAAGGAGAGAACAGCTATATGGCAGCCAAGTTACTCCTGCCTAATAGCAGTAGTGAGGTCAAAGATGAAAACATATACTGCATTCACACACTAAAAATTTTGTTTAATCCCAGATCTCTGCAAATATGCCCATTTTCACTATTCCTCTTCCTCTCCTTTTTTTACTCTGCATGGTTGTTGTGTATAAGAAAGTGAATGGGAAAGTGACACAAGATTTACTACCACGTAGTACAGAGGACTATGCCTAATACTTAACTTTTGTTGTTTCCACATGTAGCAGCTTATATAATTATTATTTATTACAGCAGTGCCTAGTAGTCAAAACCCGTTGTGTTAGATACTATACGGATATATAGTAATAGGCAGCCCCTTTCCCAAAGACCCTCCAGTAGGCAGTACCGGCAAGAGATTTTTTAGCAGGTACGGGGTACCGGAGAGACTTGGGGCTAGGCCCGCCACTCCGGAGGGGGCGTAGAGCTGCACTCTGCTCCTTAAAGGAGCAGAACATGGCTAGGGAGGGCATTCATTCTTTAAATGGCTTTAACAGCACAATACATATACTAATAAACTTAAACAAAGCCTTTGTTTAAGTTTGCTAGCATATGTATTGTGCTGTTACCTTGGTCAGGAGTCCTCAAGAGGGGAGGGGTGGGGGGGACGGACGGTGTTTAGGGGCAAGAGCAACAACAAAAAAAGAGAAAAATCCTCCTCCTTGTTTTTGGTAACTGTACAGGGGTGTTCAAATTTTCCAGGCTCCTGGGCAGAGGGACCCCAGTCTTTTGCACGTTAGCTAGTAGATTTAGCCCTTTGGCTTTTAGGTGTCTAGTAGCATTTCTAAGTCCTGTGTGTGGACATTGGGCTGTGGGGATGGGTATTGGGAGGTGAATGGGGGTGTGAGTGATATAAGGCTGTGATATAAGGCTGAGAGTGATAAGTTAGCAATGAGAAGTGTCATATCTAGAGAAAGATCTTAGGTAAAACAGGAGAAGAAAGGAGACAAAATAAAAGGAAGGAAATAGAGAACAGTATGTAGGGAAAGTTACATAAGGATTGGAGGGAAAGAGAAGGCAAAGAGGAAATATACACAGAAGTCAACATGAGAAAACATATATTGATATATATTACAGGAAAGAAAATGTGGAGTGGGAGCAGCCCTCTGCACTAGCCCCCACATTCTCTGAATAGGGGAGGCACAAGCTGCCTCCTCTCTGTCTCTGAATGTCCACATAGGAATTAATCTGGTTTTTTGTCAGCGGGCACTGAAATTACAAGAATTCTTACAACTCTGCTGCTAATTACTTCTTACTTCCATTCCCAAAGAAACAGATATTACAGTGCTAAGTGATTATTTTAAAGTGTTTTAAAATAATCAACATTTTAGAGTCACCATGGTCAGAATTAAGCAGCAGAGCTAGTTTGAGCAGTGTTGTTGATTAAATTCTCGGGACATTATAGTCAGAATTGGGGCCTACAATTTAAAATACCTAGAGCTATGAATCCCCCTCTCCTGATGCTATGTTTAGGAGACCATATGACCTAATATAGTGTATTAATAAACAGGACTACATTAAGGTAATTATTTACATGTAAGAAATTTCCCTTGTCTTTTTTTCTACATAATTCCCATCGGTTTTGTTGGAAGGATAGCATTCTATGAAAATATTATGACTAATTACTTAACAAATAGCCCTATACTGTCTTGCTTCTTAATAATAATGAGTATAGTGTGTAGTCGGCACCTGGCAGGATGATGCCGCTTGCCTGCAGGACCCAGGGAACTGTAGCACATGCAGTGCTACCAGAAACCTCATAGAGAGTCTGATTAAAAAGCCATTGGAGTTAGTGGAAAGTCTTCTACTAACTTCATTGGGCTTAGGATCAGACCCACAGTGTACTGCTGAGAGTGGAGTAGAGCTGGGGTGATACAATGCTACGCACTGTAAATCATTGTAACAGAGGCCACCTCTGGATGTACTTCCTATCCCACTTACAGGACCTGTGCCACCAGGTGCAATGACTCTGGGAGTAGATGCCTGTGCACAGCCTCTTCTCCCTGCCACACCTCAATGCAGGCAATGACTTAAATCACGATTAGCTCATAATCACTGTCATCTCTTGATAACATCTCTAATAATGTTTGCATTTAATATTTAATTCATGCTACAGTTTTAGTACAAAACTTACTTCTCACCATCACTATATTAATGGAAAGACAAATTTACGTATATGTGTGATGTCACTTTTTAAAGCCCCATCACCCTTTGAAAAACATAACGTATTTTATAAGAGTATTGCAAACTGTTTTCACTACTATATTGCATGAAATATACTAAAGTAAAAATATATTTCTTCTAGATTCAGAAAAGATGGCGAGGCTATTATATCCGAAAATATATCCATAATTACTATGCACTGAAGAAATATCTGGAAGCTATTTCTGTGAATAATGAGATTGTCAGGTAAAGATAAAAAAGAGTGATAAAACTTTAATTTCTTCTTCAGAATTAAGTGTGTTGGCGATTAAGGGATTTTTAAAATGTTTGCATTGGAAATTGGTTGTTGACAGTGAAAAATATAAAGACTTAGGTCTACATTCTGTATCCGGTCCCCATACAGAACTTCCATTGATTTCAGTGGTCATTTGCTATTGCCGTGATTCCTACAGAAAACCTGGCAACCGTTAGGGAGCTGGTGTGTAAGACCACTGCCTCTCATGCTGACCAATACGGTCTCATTGTTTCTTTGTGCTCCCATGTCTGTCTGTATCCACCCGTTGTCATTTCTCTTAGAGTGAATGCTTTTTGGAGAAGAGGACTATCTTTCTGTTATGTCAAGTATCAGAGGGGTAGCCATGTTAGTCTGGACCTGTAAAAAGCAACAGAGTCCTGTGGCACCTTTAAGACTAACTGTTAGTCTTAAAGGTGCCACAGGACTCTCTGTTGCTTTTTTCTGTTATGTGTTTGTACAGTGCCTAGCACAGTGGGGGATTGGCCTGTGATTGGGTCTCTGCAATTGCAGCATAAATAAATGATAAAGAAATAATAAATAACAACATTCCCATCCAAATTATTCCCTGGTGTACCTCTGCTGACCTCAGCTTCATCAGAGGACCCTTACATTTTAAGATTTTGTTTTTCTTTAAGACAGGTAATTTACAGATGTCAGAAATGCTTCTTTATTAGAGACATAATAAAACACTACTGCCGGCTCTTTGTAGAGTTCCTTGCAACAGTTGATATAATAAGGCACTGTACATATTTTCATTAACATGATCACCGGGTGATTTACCTTTATATCCCATCTTTTCTTTGCCCTTACTTTGATTGTCTTGAATGACAGAGATCATCACTCTTGCCTGTTAGGGAACTTGGACACTACCGAGGCAATTTTGTAGGTGTTCAAAACAAACAAACAAACTAAATCAACCAAACAAAAAAAAAAACTTACCTATTTTTGTGAGGTAAATGTATCAAGTTGTTTAGTTAAAACCAATTTCTGGAAATCTAGGTCTAGATGACATTGCAAGAGACATAGTTCAGCCAAATTATTTATTATTTTTATTATTTTATTAAAATAATAAAATATTATGCAAGTGTATTATATGAAATAAATAACACAGGTATTTATTTTTAAAACCAGTTTTTAAAAGTCTGTAGTTATTAATGTCCAGTTTTCTTATGTAAGAGTAGCTCTCTACTCTTTTATGGTGCACCTTCTTTATGATAATATGTAAATTATCATGTCTCATAAATATGTTGCTTTAGAAGTAATATAACTGCCTCCATCCACCTTTTGTTTACTGTTCATTTAGACACATATTTATGGATACAAAGCTGGTTCATATTTCAACTACAGAAATCAAATTTGAAAGCAATTGTAATGGTGGAAATTGTATCAACTATATCATCTCTACCTCCTACCACATCCAGTCCAAATTCTGACAAAAAATCCCAGGTTTGCTTTTTTCTGGGCAGTCATATCAGTAAACATATAAATTTAATCACTATCTAGGATTTACTCTTGACCCTGCTGGGAGTCTAAAATGAGTACTTTGTAACTGGATGAACTGCTGAGATGCAGGTCTACTTCCTTGTTTAAAATAGTTCAATCATCTCCTCTTGGTTCCTGAACCTGAAACAAGAGCAAGTAACTGACCTACAAGCCTATGACATATATAGATAAAATAAGATAATGAGAAGTGGCATTTCTACTGTACTGAACATGGATTTATTGCAGTTTATATTTTGTTTTTTCCCCCAATATGACTTTTCTTTGTTTCATACACCATACATTTGGTATCGTACTGCATTATTTTTGTATGTTTGTCTCTTTCATTAAATTCCTTAATGGTTGTTTCAGATTATTAATATGCATAAAGTGTTAATACACTATGTAGATTTTTTTTTCAAATCTTGAGTTGTGGCAAATAGGAGAGGAAATGATTTCTATTTCTTTTAATGTATAGAGCTATTGTTTTGCCTGTCATGTATCAGGTTCATCATAAATGTTACAAATTCAGTCTGCTAGGTTTATTTCTCTTGTTGATATCTTTATACTCTGCTTCTTTGTTTATCTGATTTCTGGCTCTTAGGGATTTTGGGGTCCACGGACAGTTTACCTGTGTGTATTTGAAGCTTTATTTTAGGGTATGTTTTCTTGGTGCTGATCTGTTATTTTGAAGTCCATGTTTTCTAATACTTTTATTCATTATTAGCATTTAATAACAACAATTAATGCTATTTCATCTTTGTGAATTAAATGGTATTATAAATACCAACTCAAAATTTTTGAAAACTGTATATATATGTATTTGTTTATTTATTTATTTAATCACTGAGGCAAAGTAGTGTTACTGTGCACAGGCCACCATGCAACCTTGGATTTAGTTATAGTTCATCTACTCCATAGTTAGTGGTATAGTATTTTATTTTAATACATATGCAAGAATATATTTTCATACTGAGACTAGACGTTTTACAAAGATAAATTAGTTTGATTACTTTAAAGGCTGAGTGTGCATTTGGTAGACGTATACACTTGTCACCTCTTGCCCGATATGCAAAAACTGCCCCAGGTTAAGAACAAGAAAACGATATCATGAAATTAAAAATTAGCCATAGACATGGTAGCATTAATAAAACATTATTAAGTTTGAGTGCAGAAGAACGAACATCCTTTACTTATGACAGAAACTCAAATTGGAAGTCATATTCTCTTTAGCTATTATTGTATTAGATAGATGTTGGTTTTGACTGTTACTTTATGTCTTGTAACATTAAATGTATGATCCAATTGTATAAAAAATAGCTAAATTAATTTCATGACTAATTTCATTAGTATATCCTTCTGTTGACCTTGGTAGCTATTTATTATTAGTCTATCCACTAATTTTTTTTTTTTACTTAAACCCAAATTTGCCCTGCACATTAGAAATAAATTGTACATTTTGTAATGAACTTGTCAACCAAATTGATCAGATACAATACATATTTTGAGTATTGAAAGAGAATCAATGGATTTTCTCTAGAAATAAGTATCACTGCATAGATCTCTTCACAGGCATAAATTAAAAAAATAGTGTGCACTGCCCCCTAGCACCTACCTCATAGAATCCAGCAGGCATGCAATGGGGAACTGTGCCCTGGCCATGTTCTCAACTCAGATAGATTTTCCTCCATCCAGTCAAGAAGTGCTACCAAGCACATTGGCCAGGAAGTGCTGGTCCTATATTGTGACTGTGTAATGCATGGGAGTGCTACTGAAGGTTGGGGAGAGGTTCTCTGCATACTTCCCTCCCCCAACACACCATGTCAGGGACACTCACAATTTAGTTGTAGTTGTAAATATTTATTTAGTGTATATAAAAAACATTTAACCATTTATTACAATACATGCCATGAATAAAAATGCATAGACAAATGAGAACAACTAAGTGCCTAAAGATGCACCCTTATAAAATGATTGATTTTTGCTACAGCTTTACTATTACAGATATTTTGAAAGTTTGGGACAGACTCATTGGTACACTTCTGCAACTTATTAATAAACCTGGCTCAGGTTAAGCCACATTTATGACTGCTTTTCATCTCCAGAGTGAAACAAAGCAGCTGGAGCATTACTGATGAAACTGTTCCTTAATTAACTCATTCATCCTTTAGCTGCTTTCATCAAGACTTTTGCTTTAGTGCTGTGTCAATGGTATTAGAGCTCTGAGCTTCTCCACACAACACGAAAAGTAGCTTTGACACAACACTGAAGCAAACACTTCGGTGGTTAGAGCTATCAACTAGATGGTGTAAATGCACATTAAAGTTTGCCATTACAATCGGTAGCATGAGTTTAGGAAGACTGCTTGAATGAGAAAGCTATGAGTAGTTTATGCAGATGATCCACACACACACAAAAGAAAAAAAAGATACCAAATTGCAACATCATATATGTTCCTTAATTCACATATTTTAGAGAAACGGTGTCACAATTATTTGTCTTAGTTAATTTATATAGGCCTTAGATTATCGGAAAAGTTAATACTTTTTAAACCTTAAAACATTTGCTAAAATTAATTCTTTATTTATATTATGTCATAGTTTTATGGATTTATATCTGCAACATGACAGAGCTAGAGACAATTTGTGTGTATCATTAGAAAACCTAGATTCACAACTCTTATACAAAATAAAACACCCATTTCACTTTTGGCATATCACGAGATATCGGACCTTAAAATCAATATTAGTCCAAGACAGCATATTGCCATGCCTGGTTCTTTGACCAGCTGATTTTAAACGCCTTCTTTATCTGATCCACATTTAGAGGGAAAGAAAGCAACATTTTTGATATTGCCTATAAAGAGCAAAAAAGAGTTTTGGACTATTGAAAACAGTCGTGGCAAAATAGATCAGAGAGTAGAGTGAGGATTAGAAAGTTTAACATACAAAATAAATGCAGCTTATTCCATGATTCTATGGTTGCAGAAAAACAAATATTTGATGGTTATCATGTTGACGTGTGCAGTTTGTATATATCTATATTCCCATTTATTTTAGACACCTACCTTCTTGAGGTTTGCAAGTTATCCTTTTTTAACTAACTTAGTCATGGCAACTACCTGCTTAAATGGAAGCTATGACAGGTTGGCAGATGATATGGTAGTGTGGAGTGGAGAGCAATGGGGACAACAGGAGCTCTTTTGATTCATTTTTGATCAAAGTCAAAAGTTGCAACCTTTTACTCACACTTTCTTTAGCTATGGTTCTTATTCTGTTATTTTTAAAATTAAAACACAGCAAGTAAAGAAAATATCCTATCATTATAATAAATCCATGACATAAAGGCCTGTTTTCCAGTGTTTTTGATGCATGCATAGTAGGTCCTTTATGAATTCTGAGTAGACTAGTGTGAATGCTGGTAAACATTTGGTTGACGCAGCTGTGCTTCTTCCTCTTATTCCTTGGAAGAA